CACCACCCTGCCAGATTGTTTCTGAGGCACAGGTGTCTGGAGAGAGTTGTAGGCAAGATCTCCTGGGAAGAGTGTGTCCCCAGGAGGAGGTAACTGGCAAAGCAGGAGCACTGAGATGGGAGTCAGGCAGCCTGGGTTCAAGTCCAGGTCTGCCGGAGACTTTCTGAGTAACCTTGGGCCACTCCCTTCCCCTGTTTGAGCCCGTTCCCTCTCCGTAGACCAAGCATGGTCATTCCTGCCCTGTCTGCCCCACAGGCCTATTGTGAGGATGAAGGACCATAAAGTAAAATGATCAGAAGAGCCCCAGGCTCCACATAATAAGAATCTTCCATGCACTAAACCCTGTAACACTCACGAGGGCCCCTGAGGTCAGTGCAGTTGTCATCCCCATTTCACAGCTGAGGACACTGAGGTTTCCTCTTCTAGACTGAAAGACGTTGGGCATTGTGGGGAGGGAGGGACTATAGCCGAGACTGTTCACGACTGTGTTATATTATTATTTGTGGTTATAAAGTTCTCCAGAACATTTCTCATGCTACTTGGGCTACAAAAGCTGGAGAAATGGACTCCTTTTTTTAAATTTTGGGACCCCTAGACCTAGGGGATGGGCTAGGGTGAGGTGGGGTGGGGGTGGAGATAGGAGAGTGTTCTGTTAGCCAGGGAAGGGCACAGGGCACCCACCAGTGGTAGTATCGAAAGCGTGGCCTCCAGTTGGGGGTCCTCAGCAGTGTCTGTACGGCACAGGCCAGATTTACAAACATGTAGCACATCAGGAAGAACCTAGAACACAGAAAGGCCCCAGGAGAGGCAGAGATGCAAAGGGAGGCAGAAACAGAAAGAGAAACATAGGGAAAGAAAGGGGGGAAAGAGGATAAGAAACTGAGGAGGTGGCCAGATCACATTCTGGAATGGGATTCAAGGGCCAGATCCCCTTTCAGCACACCCTGATGTGTGTGGGAGTGAATCTTCATATAACAAAAGACAGGTTGTTACACTATTGGGTGGGCTATCCAGGGTCACAACTGGAGGATCCAGGTAGAGAGACCCCCCCCCAGAGCTGATGGGGAGGGAAAGAGGCCAGCACGCACATAGAGAGGATGGGGGCAACTTCGTCGAGGGATGCAATGAGGATGCCAATCTCACAGATGCAGGCCGTCAGGAGCAAGGCCCATGTTGGCTCTCCGTTGGCTTTGCCGTGGCCAAAGACCTGGGGACACAGCAACCATCATAGAGGTCTGAGATCTTAGGCATTTCTTGTCTCTCTTGTCCAGTCTTGGGGACCAGTGCAATGGAGGCAGGAATCCCCTAACCAGTGAGGAAGTAGGGAGAGGATGCTGTATTCCTCACCCTTACCCAAGGGGATGCCAGTCTTTGGCTGTGTCTCTCCCACTCTGACATTGGTACTTCAATTAATGAAGTTCAAATGACCCCTTAAGGGGAAAAGAAGGACCTGTAGGACAGATGGAGAGGAGCTACAGGGGCCAGCAAGTGGCCACGACTGTGTGCTCCATAAATCTTTTTTTTTTTTTAAGCACCATGGAGAGAGCCACACTTGCCCTTTGGCTACCTCCCTGCCTGATCACTCAGCCAAAGGAGGGCTAATGGTTTCTCCCCTAAGAGCAGACAACTCTGCCCAAAGAGATAGCACTGACCACGGGCCAAATCCCAAATAAGGCACACCCATTCTTCTTATTGGTAGTGCAGAGCAGCAGGGCCCTAGGGGGCCTTGGCTCACCCGGTGGCCTCTCCGGGCAGTGCCTTGGCTGACCGGTATAATGGATGGGCTGTTCTTCCCACACTCCACCCCTCACTGACCTGCAGGAAGGGCACTATGCCGTCCCGGGAGATGGCCTGCAGCAGGCGTGGGGCCCCCGTGAGGCTCTGCAGCCCAGCCCCACAGGTGGAGAAGAAGGATCCGATGACAATGACCCAAGGGGATGGCCAGGCCAGTGTTCCCACCACCAGGTTGCCATTCACAGCTTCGCCAAACCTGGAATGAAGCAGCAAGGGGACAGGAGATGCTGGGTGAGCAATGCCACCTGGATCTCCAGGGCGTGTCTCCCACACCAATCCCAGGACCAGTTGTACACCCATCACAGGACTAGGCTCTCTAGGAGCAAGGGGGGAGACAAAGCTCCTAATGTCCTGGGCATTTCTGTCTGTGTGACCTTGGGTAAGTTGCCTCAGCTATAAAATGAGAATCATTATAAACCTATCTCGTATGATTGGTGACAAGATAAAAGGAACCAACACAGGTAAAATGCTTTGCACTATGCCTGGAACAAGACACTAATAGTGATTCTAGTAAATGGTCAATATTGTAATATGTTAAGCTGGAAAAAAGCTCTTGGCTTATTAGAACCTGTGTCTCCATCTGAAAAATGGGGTTCTGGCCTCATTTATGGTAATGATATCTAATGTGAGAAGCATAGAAAAGCATTTTCTAACAGTGACACTATCTTAAATTGAATGATGCTGCCTCAGTAGGTAGAGAGAGCCCTGTGGCTGGAGTGTGCAAGCAGAGGTGTGCTCAAATGGGCTGTTGCTGAAGGACTCCAAAATCAGATGAAGGGTTTTACCAGATGGCCTGCTGAATCCCTTGCAGTTCTGTGGGAGGTCTCTGATTAATTTTTTTAATGTTGATTTATTTTTTGAGGAGGGGAGGGTCAGAGGGAGAGAGAGGGAGACACAGAATCCAAAGCAGGCTCCAGGCTCTGAGCTCTCAGCACAGAGCCCAATGTGGGGCTCAAACCCACAAACTGTGAGATCATGACCAGAGCCGAAGTCAGATGCTCAACCAACTAAACCACACAGGCGCCCCAAGGGGGGAGGGTTCTCTGATTAAATGAAATAAGTGGAGATTAAGTTCCCCTAAAAGGTAATAAGTGTAATATATGCAAATTGTCCACTTGGCCAGGTCACTCCCCTGCTTAAAACCCTTCAGGGTTTCCTCTATTTTTTTTTTTT